AAAGAAATCGTTAAAACTTAAGGCCCCACTTAATTAGAAATGTGATAAATATATGGACAAACGTATTATTAATACTATAAGAGGACTGTAGCTTAATATTTTTATCCAAATATGTTTAAAAATGTCATGTATTTGTTACAGTTCATGTTTTCTGTGTGAACTTAGCAGCTAACGTTCTTTATGAAGAGTGACGTAAGAGAAAAATAAGGATCCTATGTCCAGTAAGAAATTTAGAAAATGAAAATTTTAGTACTACTTCTCCTATATACAATCTTCCTTCTGTGGGTTATTTGGAACAAAACTATGACCCATTTAATTTCTATTGTGTTTCACAAAATTAAGAGTTGCCCATTATACTCTCTGAAATATAGGTTTCATTTCAAATAGAATATGAACTTAAATGTTAATGAGAAAATGGCTTTAATCAAATCTAGCATTTCATGATTGTGATACCTGACTGACAGAGTGATTTTGTCTTAGATGAATAAGTTATTACTTACAGGTGATAACTTGCTTACATACTATTAGAAGATAAACTTGTCAAACTTGTCAAGAATGAGAAAAGTCAAATTAGAAAGTCCTATGTCCTAGTTTCCTTACAAAAGATAATTAAATATATTACTAAGAGCTTTATATATTTTTTATATATTATATACTGACGACAACTGGTTTAAGCATCACAACCTGTGATGATAAACACTGCCTACATATATAGAGAACTTTCATCAATTCTTAAGTTTCTTAAAAAAGCGTTCAGGGAACTGAAACTATATGGAATATTTTCTGTGTGTACTTCTACATGCATTTTTCTAGGGATAGAGTCCATGGTTTTCTTCAGAATATCAAAGAAACCTGTGACCTAAAGAAGTTTAAGTACCATATGCACTACTGCTGACATTTTGTGCTTGGAAAGTGAGTGACGATAGAAGGAAGAATTTTTCTTACATATTTTAAATTGTTTTCTCTTTCTTGTAATCGAAGATTAAAGGAGTAATAAATTAAGGGGTTTCTTTAATTTATAGCGGTAATTTATCTAAGGGGAGGGGACATGAAAGTAGGTTAATAGGTAGGCCTCTAATTGAATTACTTCAGCAAGTTATGTACATATGTATAAGATGAAGTTGCTCATTCTGAAGGTTTCCTTTGAAGGCAGGTCAAATGCTGCTTAGTAAACTTTAAGAGATTGTTAATTCCTTAGTTATACCAGATTTTATAAAATAATATTTTAAAAAGATGGCTAACTAGAGGTTAGAAATACTTTCCCTTAACTTTAATCCACATTATCTTTCATGCATTCCACAACCACATTTTGGTACTATTTAAGGTGTGCAATTTTCCATAGGTGACTTTTGCAATTCAGGGACAATCTGGGCATTTTAAATGAAAGAATATCTAATTGGGAAAAGTGTTAAGGAAAGAAATCCCTTTCAAAAGCTGACCACAAAGAATACTTAAAAGTTTTTGTAACTATCTTCACAAATGTGTAAAGCACAGATATTAACAGAGTGCTTGGCATATTGTAGGGTGCTCAATGATAGTTTTTATTATTATACCCAGGTTCAACAATGGCAAGAAACACCATTCTACATAATGGCAAACATTTCCATCAAATCCCACTTACTTTAATGCAAACTTGGAGGCAATTTATGATATTGTATTGTAAACCATTAATGACAACTGTTTTTCACAGTTGAGTGAAGGTAAAATCACTATATCTCAACTAGAGTCTGTTTACTATAGCTTATTTCTTGTTAAGAAACTTTTGAACTGTTTTTGTTTCTCTATTGTGCTTTTATTCCTTCCCCAATAAATATATTTTAGCCATGTGTAATCAATTAAAGTATAAGTAAGAAACTTGGTATCTGTATTTTTCGTATCTGACATGGCATCCCCTCTCTCTTAACAAATAAGTCATTTAGTAACAACACACAATCAAATGAGTCTACTCAGTGTCTTTAATGATTTCCACCACATGCATTACATCTTGTATGCTTTTAGGTGGATTTCCAGTGAGCTGATGCACCTCTTACACCCCTGGAAACTAGGATATGTTCCAGTTCAGCCAGTTTGTATTCTACCATACTGAGGTTTACCAATATTCGTTTCTGCATGGCTATGGAGTGCGGGAAAGTGTTTAAAATATCCCGAGGGAGGTTGTTGACTAAAAGATGATGGTTGCCTGTGTTGCTGTTAATTAACCTAGTAGAAGAGGGTCTTACTAATGCAAGAGCAGTTGAATTTGATGACATTTCGCCAGTTGACATTTCAGCAGTTGATATTTTGTCAATGTTTCTCTGTAAAGGAAGGGAATTATACATATGTAGTTTATCGAATTAAGCAATTTCCAAACTATAGAACAACTTGGCTAATTTTGGTTACCAAAATAAACTGATTTCCCCTAAGAGGTGGAAATTAAAAATATATTGAATTACTACATTAATTCAAAAATATATTCTTCCAAAACCAGATTGAGAAAAAATATATATGAAAGTAGCCTTTAGTCAAAGCTCCATATCCTTTCCTTATATTTCCTTATATTACCACTAGGTAAACACATTAACTCTGTCTTTGACTCTTATCTAAAAGCACTTCACTTGTGACTTTAACACCAGGTAAACCACATTCATACTTGAATTATTTGTGAATGCCCAGAAAGTGCGCATAAAATAAAGATGGTGAGATTAGCAAACAGACACGTGGGGGAGGAGAAGCAAGAGAAGAGAGAAGGTACAGATTCTTAAAGTGGGAAATGGTGGGTGGGAATGGGCACTTACAACTGCACATTACTCTCCAATGAGTGAAAAGCTGACCACATAACTTAGGGACCTGGGGCTTTTTAGAAGAGAAATTTAGAAATACATTTCCTTAATTTTAATCCACATTATGTTACACGCATTCTACCACTACTGTCGAGTCACTGGTCAGAATATAGGAATTGCGGGAGTAAGGGGTGAAAGTCTGGGGCTCCTTCCAACGAAAAAGAGGAATGAGGTAATCTTCTCTTACCTCTCACTTTACTATATTTTACTCTCTCACATACACACTCCCCAGTCCATATATTCATCTACCTTCATCTAATTCAAATCTCTCTTACATTCACCATTACCTGAAAGCGATTTTTCCAGAAGACGAACATCAAGGCACACAGAATGCCGCTCGCTAGAAGTAAAAGGATGTACATGGCTCCTCTTCGGCCTCTTCTTTCTCTTCTGGTTGAACTCCCAAGGCTGGTATTTAGGAAGCAGTGGGCATCTAGCCACCCGAATTTGGAAAACTTCGGGCCAGGATGCTAGGTGTCCCGGACTGCCTGGTACAAGTGGGATGGTCTGTGTTGTGCTGTTTTATATACTAAAGAGGGCACGAGAAGTCACAATTGGGCACGCACGTGGTGATGCTGCAGCACAATAAGATGACGTAACAACCACCCCTTCGGGAAACCAGCGGACACTTAGTAACTGCCCACCCTGTCAGTGTCAGGTCCTTACAGAGGAGAGTGAAAGACAATGAGGAAGTTTGGGATTTCTGGGAAGCTGAAACGTGGTAGAAGTACAGGCTCCATATTTATTGGTTAAATAGAGTATATAAAAAACTGACCAGGCGCGGTGACTCACGCCTGTAATCCAAGCACATTGTGAGGCCAAGGCGGGTGGATCACGAGGTCAGCAGTTCAAGATAAGCCTGGCCAATATGGTGAAACCCTGTCTCTACTAAAAAAACACAAAAAATTAGCCAGGCGTGGTGGCACACACCTCTAGTCCCAGCTACTAGGGAGGCTGATGTAGGAAAATCGCTTGAACCCAGGAGGCAGAGGTTGCAGTGAGCCCGAGATGGCGTCACTGCACTCCAGCTTGGCGACAGAGCGGGACTCCTAAAACAAAACAAAACAAAACAAAACAAAAAAACCCTGATGCTGCTCCTAAAAATATGTCTTTGCTGCAAACACTCCTTTATTCACTTCAAAAACAAGACAGAAATGCACTGTAAAAAGTAGTTACCCACAAATTATCTTTGCCAGAAACCACTTACTCCACACTCACATTGCTATTTTAGAATTTACTCCAACCCTAGTCACATTAGCATAATTATGTACATTTGCGTCATTTTACAGTTTAACAAATAATTTTGGAGACATTTTCACACATAAGCCTCACAACAAATTTATATAAAGGTATTAGTTTTTTAATTTCACATTTATACCATGACTTTTTAAAAAAATTTATTTATCATCTTTCATTTTAACTTCTGGGATATACGTGCAGGATGTGCAGGTTTGTTACACAGGTAATCACGTGCCATGGTGGTTTCCTGCACAGATCACCCAGGTATTAACCCCAGCACCCATTAGCAGCTCTTCCTGATGTTCTCCCCTCACTCATTCCTGCCCGCCCCTCACAGGTCATAGTGTGTTTTGTTACCCTCTATCATGTGTCCATGCGTTCTCATCATTCAGCTCACACTTACGAGTGAGAACATGTGGTGTTTGGTTCTCCAGAGCCAAGGTATTTTTACTACTGTGTCTATTTTTGCAAATGTGGAAACAGATCCATGTGTTAAACTCATTTAAAACTATTAGCAAAAGCAGGACTTGAATCTGTGGAGGTTGGGCCCTGAGATAAACTCCACCATGCCATCTTTATCCGCATGATCTTCACCTCCACTCTGATTTGTGAGTATCAAGTATTTAATATTCTCCAATGAAGGAATTGAACAGTGTAGTTGAATTTGTATTAATGGGAGGTAGCACGTACAGGAATCATTGCACTAGACAAGTTAGAAATGTTCAAGAAATTTAGTTAAATGTAGACTATAGATACAGGAAACGGGCAGAGAAATGCTGGAAAAGGGAAGGGTGTGGTCCCTGGCTAGGGCTCCACCCGCTCAGGCCTGTGCCCATGGATGTAGGTTCTTACAGGCATTTCTGTTTTCTTGTCAAATGGTTCTTTTCCCAAGACAACCCTGGCCTTCCATGTCCCCATGCTGTGCCTATAAAAAAAAAACTGGACACCCTAGCAGGCACAGACACAAGTGGCTGGATGTCCAGAGGAGCACACCAGCAGAACCCACAAGACACTTCATGTTGAGAGGATGTTGATGGGTGAGAGCATACTGACAGGCACTTATAGGAAAACTGGCAGAGCATTGACTGGTGGAACAATGCAGAATTTGTTCGGGGTGTTTGGAGGGGAGCCCAGATGCTGAGTGGCCCAACTTTAGGGGAAAACCACCTTTCCACTCAATCTCCCTTTGGCTCCCCCATCTGCTGAGAACTACTTCCACTCAATAAAACCTTTCGCTCATTCTCCAAGCCCATGTATGATCCAGTTTTTCTGGTATACAAAGGCAAGAACTCTGGATACAGGAAATTCTCTGTCCTTGCAATAAGGCAGAGGGTCTAATTGAGCTGTTTAACGCAAGCCACCTAAAGATACCAAAACTAAAAGAGCACATGGTAACATGCGCTCTCCTGTGCCTCAGGAGCTGTAAACATTCACCCCTAGATGCTGCCATGAGGTTAAGCCCCCCAACTTGCCCATCTGCTTGCTCCGCCTAGGGGTTTTGTGCAACAAGCCACCAGAGAAGCGAGCCACACCCCTGTCACACACACCCTGTAAGGGGGACAAGGGAACTTTTCTCCATTCACTATGACGCTGACCTAAGATCCAGAACTTAAAAACAATAGCCACTGTAATCTCAAGGTGATCATCCAACTGCAACCCCGTAACTCTGCTAGATAAACAACCCTCATCTTCATATATATGGGAAGGGGAGTAATTATATTTTTATTTTTCTTATATCACACCATTTCCTAGTTATGAGTACAAAGCTTAACATTTTATTGATTCAAATAATATTTATTAAACACATACTAGACACTGTGTTGTATTTTAAGAATTTGATTATGAGCAAAAATAAAGCCTTTCTCCACCTGGAATGTGCATGCTAGTGTAAGAGACAGATATTAATCAAATACCGAAATGCATGTGAAAGTGCTGAGATAAATAGTACCAAGGAGTATGTAGTGGTGTGGGAGCTCATAATAGGATATAGGATCTAAAGGGGAGTGAAGTACCTGGCTTTATGGCTTACTCAATGGGATGGATAGAAAAATGACCAAGTATCGAGTTGCTGATCATTAATTTAGTCTTGGACACATCAAATTTGAGGTGACTTTGAGACAGGAAATAAATGGAGATAAGTGAAGACATAAATTTGTGAGTCATCTGCATATAAATGATAATTGAAACTCCAGATATAAAAGAAATTTCTTCATGTCAGTGTACGGAGTACAAATGAAGAGAAGTTTGAATAGAGCATTGAAGGATGTTAATATTTAGTGGCTGGGCAATGATATTTCTATTAGTTTGTGAGTTTTCTGATATCTAAATTTCCTGTTTCATTGAATAAAAGTCAGTGAAGCCCATTAACCTTATTTCTAACAATAGGATTTTGAATTTTGATCCTACTGGTATTTAAGTGAAAACTACAGAAATCTTGGAAAATATTCTCATCAAACACATTAGAGTACTGTTGCTAATCATTGATTTCTTAATTTTATTTTTAATTGTAATACATATATAACATAGAATTTAACATTTTAATCAATTTTAAGTGTATAGTTTTGTGGCAATAGCTACATTCACATGGTTGTGCAACCAACACAACAATCCATTGCTGGAGCTTTTTCAACTTCTCAAACTGAAACTCTGTATTTATGAAACATTAACTTCCCATTTTCCTCTTTCCCTAGTTCTTAACAACCACCATTCTATTTTCTGTCTTTATTAATTTGACTACATTAGATACCTCATACAAGTGGAATTATGCAATATTTGTCCTGTTCTGAATTACTTATTTCAATGAGCATAATATATATACTCAATGTTCATCCATGTTGTAGCATGTGGCAGAATTTTCTTTCTTTCATGAAGGGAGGGCTGAATAACATTCCACTGTATCTGTACACCATGTTTGGCTTAGCCATTCTTCTGTTGATAAACTCTTGTGTTGTTTTCATGTTTTAGTATTATAATTAATGCTGCTTTGAACATGAATGTACAAATATATCTTCAAGACCCTGCTTTTTTTTTATTTGGGTATATACCCAGATGTGAAATTGCTGGATAATACAGTAATTCTATTTTTAATTTTTTCAGGAACTTCATAGTGTTTTCCACAGCAGGTACACCATTTTATATTTTCACTAACAGTGCACAAGGTTTCTAGTATCTCCATATCCTCCTCAACACGTTATTTTCTTTTTTCTTTCTTTTGTGTATATAGTAGACATCCTAATGTTTATCAAGGGGTTTCATTGTGACTTTGATTTACATTTATGATTAGTGATGTTGAGTGTCTTATCATGTGCTTGTATTTTTGGAGAAACCTCTACTCAAGTTGTTTGCCCGGTTTTTAATTTGTTTGTTTCCTGTTGTTGAGTCGTAGACATTCTTTATATGTTCTGGATACTAATCTCTTATTAGATATGTGACTTGGAAATATTTTCTTTGTTCCTGTGTGTTGCTTTTTCACTCTTTTAATGGTGTTCCTTAATGCACAAAAATTTTTAATTTAAATGAAGTCCACTTTACCTATTTTTTTTCTTTGTTACCTGTAATTTTGTTGTCATGTCCAGGAAATCACTGCCAAGTCTAACATGAAGATTTTCTTAAAAGTTTTCTCGAAGAGTATTATAGCCTTACCCCTTAAGTTTTGTTTCTTGATTGCTTTTGAGTTAATTTTTGTATATAGTGTAAAGGGTCCAACTTTATTAACATCTGTAGACCCAGTTTTCCCAGCACCATTTATGGAAAAGACTAATTATTCCTCATTGAACAGTCTGGGCACCCTTGTTAAAAATTAATTGACCATATATTCAAGGGTTTATTTCTGTGCTCTCTGTTCTGTTCAATTACCACATGTGTGTCTTTATGTCAGTAGCAAATTGTTTTGACTACCATAGCTTTGTGGTAAGTTTTAAAATCAACAAATATGAGTTCTCTAACTTCATTCTTACTTCTCAAAACAGTTTTGGCTATTTGATGTCTCTTGTGTTTCCAAATAAATTTTAGGATGGATTTTGATATTTCTGCAAAAAACATATTGGGATGTTTCCATAGGGTTCACATTGACTTTGTAGATCCCTGTAGGTAACATTGACATTTTGAGATTATTAAGTATTTC